CCAGCCACCCCAATTTCTTGACCCATGCAAAGCATGGCCAAGATAATCAATGAGAACTGATTGGGAGATAATCAAAGAGAATTGTGGTTTTAAGCCACTAAGGTTTGGGATGACTTGTTACACAGCAACAGATGACCAGTGAAGGGGTTTGCTTTGCCCAGTGGAGCTAGCCTAGCAAGTCTGGGGCAGAGCAGAATTGTCCAGGGCCGAAGAAGAGAGGATGCCATCTAGAATGCTCCTTCTTTCTTCCCTGGGGCTTCCTCTTCAGCCTCTCCTTTAAATAAAATCCAAACAAGTGTTGTTTAAAAGTCCCTTGGCAGGGACACTATATCATCAGCCTGCCTAATGGGGGAGTGTCATATGGCACCCCTGGACAGGCTGGGACATCTGTCAGGAAGTCCTGTTCTACTTTCTCTACCTGGCTGATTCTGCTTCACCCTCTAGGACTTGGCTTACTAATTAGAGGGGAAGCAACTATGTCTACATTTGCCATCTCTCTGAAATACATGAAGATTCAAATGGCTAATGACTGGGGAGAGACATTAATAGGCGGCAACTTAATAAAATGAATACAGCAGAATATTCATGGAGTCACAGGTGGTAGTTATATGGATGCATGCTGTACGATTTGTTCAGCTTTTTGAGTGTTTCTACATGTTCACAATAAAACAATAGTAGAATAATAAAAGCCATCAATGACACAGCAAACATGATGGGCTGGTTATGGTTTTAGACCTCAACATCTGCTCATTCATTCAATCACCAGCTCAACCCCATAAGGGAGGGTCTATTATTGTCACTATTTTATTAATGAGGAAGCTCGGCAAGGCCTACGGTCACAGGCTGGTGAGGGACAAAGGTGGGACAGGATCCAGGCAGACAGTCCCAAGGCTGCGTCCACTTAACCATTACCACACATCCTTTCTCACTCTTGTCCTGCTTTTATATTTAGATGAATTGGAGTTTTATGATTATGGAGCCTTTGTATTGAAGTATTACATAGCAGTGAGCTTCTATTCTCCTACTCCTACTGTCCAGAATACCCCATCCCTTATGAGGCCACACCTTGCCAGGTTGAACTCTGGGGCCCATCAGTCAAGTATACCAGCATCAGAAGCCAGAATGGGCAAGGCGAGGGTCAGAGGGCACACAGCTGGTAAAGCTGTGGCAGAGACAGCGGCAGCCAGAGGGAGCAGGGCAGAGGATGCAGCCTCCCCAGAGAACCACTATTTTATAAGCCCAGTCCTGGCAGGGCAGCTGCACTGGTATCCTCTGCAAGTGGCTTTGCTTTGTTTCTGTCCATGTAGATTCCAGACCTGGATCTCAGTCCTCCAGGGAAGTCTGTAAACCACCAACATCCTTTCATATCCTTATTTTCACTAATGGGGAAAGGGTTTCTTCTCTGCACCTACAACTGGTGGAAACATTGTATCTCCAGGTGACTCTATAAAGAAAACTAGGTCCAATTGAAAAACTGCAAAGGAATTGTTGACAACCCTTGGGTGGGTGAATAATACCCTATAGAACAGGGGGAAGGACACAACCTATGAAGCTATCCACAGCCACTGCAGCATGAGTTCAATCCCTGACCAGGGAGCTACCCACGTGGCGCAGCAGACCTCTCCTGACTCGCCCGCTGCTCCCCTCGGCAGTGTATTTCAGTCCATCTGCCTGTTCTGCTCCCGACTCTGTCTCTGGTGAATCCTCTCACACATCCCCAACACACCTCTGGACTATACCCCAGTTTTTGTATGCATAAATAAATAAATCTTTGAAAAAAAAAAAAAGAACAAGGAGAAGTTGATGTATCCATGTCTGTATGTCAAAAAATATCCAAAAAAATCAGAGTAGCTGTGACTAGAGAGGAGTCTGGGTGGCTGGAACAAGGCAGAAGGAGACTTATTCTAAACCTGGAGAATTCTGTACCTGTGCAAGTATTATCTGCCAAAAATAAACACATAACTGAACCAAGGGGGAGGTGGAAAGGACACATGATTGAATACTAATTACAGTGGTCTCTGGGTGATTCCTTTTCCACCTCTTTATGCATTTCTGTATATCTCAAATATCTTAGCATGAGGAGACATGCTTTTATAATTAAATGATATAATAAAGAAGGGCCTCCTTAGTGGCATATGGGTTAAGTCTCAGCGCTCACACTGCTATGGCCTGAGTTTGATCCCCGGCCAGCGAGCTGACCTACATAGGGTGCAGCAGAACTTTCCTGTCTCACCTGCTGCTCCCCTCAGTGGTGTTCTTCACCACCAAACCCACCTGTTCTGCTTACCACTCTGTCTCTGGTGAATCCTCTCACCCCCTGCACCTCTGGCCTACACCCCAGTTCTTCTACGCAAAACAAACAAACAAAAGACACAATGAAGAAGAGCTGGAGCCCACAGGATAGGAGGGAAATCATCTATCTGAGATGAGACGTAATCTCGAATCTATAAAGAAGTCTTATGACTCAATCATAAAAACACAAATAATCTAACTTAAAAATGGAGGGGGATTCACATAAACACTACTCTAAAGAAAACACACAGTGGTTGATAAGCCCAGGAGAAGATGCTGGCCATCCTCAGCCTCCTGGAGACATGCAAACTGAAATCACAGGAGACACCACCTCACGCCCCCTGGAACAGTTACTAGAGAAAATCACCCACCAGGGCCGACAAGAACATAGAGAAATCAGAGCCTGCAGACCGTGCTGGTGGGAATGGAGATCGGGGCGGCTGCTTTGACAAACAGCCCAGCAGTTCTTCAAAAAGTTAAACATAGAGTGACTATATGACTCAGCAATTCCACCCCCAGGTGTGCACCCCAGAATGGAAAACACATGTCTGCACAGACACTGGGACGTGAATGGCCATTATTCATAATGGCCACAAGGTGGAAAGAACCCAGGTGTCCCTCAGCTGACAGATGGATAAACAACATGTGAGCCACCCCTACCAGGGAGCAAGCCCCGCAGCGAGAAGGGTCTGACGGCTGACGTACACTGAACACAGGCGAACTTTGAAACAGCACCCTAAGTGCAAGAAGCCAGTCCGAAGAGACAACCGCACATATGATTCCACTCACATGAAAAGTGATTCCACAGAGACGAAGCAAATGTGTGACTGAAGGTAACTGGGGAGAGAGGAAGCGGGAAATGACTGCTCAGAGGGCATGGGGTTTCTGTTTGGGGTGATGACAGGGTTCTAAAGTGGGTGGCGGTGATGGCTTCACAACCACGCTACACTGCACTGCGCCCTTTGAGTGAGTGGGTGGTCTGGCGTGTGAATTCTCTCTCAATAATGCTGTTTTTAAACTGTTGTTTTTTTTAAAAAAAAAAAAAAAACCAAAGGAAAATGTCTGTGCAACCATCCTAGGCCGGGAAGGTTCACCACTGATTTGGGCAGATGGAAAAAGGATCTTGGAGCCTTAGATAATTTTGCTAGGCCTTCAATGCTGAAGCAGGAGACGGGCTGCACAGACAGGGGAGCAGGGGGACAGAAAGACCAAAAGACTGAATAGCAACTGAGATTCGTGGTCTCTTTATACTTATGAGCCCCTAGTCACGGAGCTGATACACTGTTGTGCGTCCGAGGCCCACCTGTTGTTTGCTGGGTATCCGAAAGGGGGAAACATAACTGAGACATTTCAAGGTTCCCCGCTGCCTGTTGTTTGGAAAGTAGAAAAAGAGCCTGAATGAACTCATTTTCCTTACAATGTCAAACAATGGCTTCCTTCTCTGAGGGATTGTCTTTGATTTTTGGTTTGGCTGATTGGGACAAATGTTTGGTGAATAAATGGGTGGATAGATGCGCAGGATGGCCGCTTGGTTGGCTAGATGGATGGGTGCGTGGATGATGAATGCAAAAAGATAAATGACTGGAGAGAGGTGGATGGGTGGATGGACGGAGGAGTGGGTGGGTGGATGGACAGACAGACGGGACTTTCAATTTGAGTCCCCCTAGAGCTTTCTTTTTCATTGACTCATCCCAAAGTCAAGGAGATGCAATTACTTCCACATGATTTTTTTTTTTAAGCCCTGTTTCAGGAGGATTCAGGCCCAGGAAAATATGCATGCACAAAAGATGGGCGGTCACTAGACTTCCTACCCCACTGTCTCTTCTGCACCCAAAGGAGCAGCCAATGGAAATGGCTGGGATCGCTGACGTGATTTCAGAAAACATGTATAGCTTGGGCTTCCGTTCTGGGCTCTCGAATCAGATAACACTTGGGAAAAAAAACACCAAGGAGGCCACCTACAGCAGTGGGGTGACCAAGATAGCACTGCTTCAACATATGTAGGTTCAGATGTCGCCCCCTTGCTTGGGGGAGCGCACCCGACCTCTCCACACTCCCGATGAAAACTCCTGACTCTAATGTTAAGGAAAGGTTTAAGGGACCTTTATTCTTTCCCCCACCTACCTCTGCGCAGCCACTCCCTGGCCTATAGCATATGGGAAGGTCACCTGCACAGACTCCAGCTTCAGACAGCCTGGGCTGAAGTCCAGGCTCAGGTCCTCCACTGTGTGGCCTTGAACAAATTGCTTACCCTCTCTGGGCCTCAATTTCCTCATCTGTAAAACGGGGATGATACTAGCAGCTGCCTTACGAAGGTATGTGAGCATAAAGGAGCTAGTCCTGTAAGTCACTGATGTCGGTAGCAGGCACATGACTCTTGTGAATGTGACCACACATTAGCACTACTCTGCACAGGCCTGTGGGAAAGGCAGACAGCCACCTGGCGCTCCTGGGAAATGTTGCCCATCTTTGGGGCTTCCCCAACTGTCCCTGGGCTTGATACCCTATTCTGTGCCCTGCTGGTATAATGATGGCTCTGCCACTTTCCTTTGGTGCCACCCGATCCAACCTTTGAAACCCAGTCTGCCATTGACGAAGCCCACGTTACCTCCCCGAAGTGCTGTCACCTTCTCTGGTCTCCATGGAAACTGACTGGCCAGGAGTCAGGCACAGACTGGGAGGGGCTGGGGGCATGGCTACACCCTTACCTGGGAGCCGCAGTGGAGGACTTGGCGGGTCAGCCTTGTCCTGATGGCCTGGAGCTCCACATAGAGGCAGATCTGATGTAAGTGAGGGTGTCTCTCATGCTTCCGCAGAGGCGGCTTGAGGGCTGTGGACAAGTACTTCAGTTAGAGACCAGGTTAGGGTTGGTGGCCGTGGACAGTGACCTCTATGCTTGGCCCCGTGGCACTGTCCTGCTTGCTAAGGCGGACCACAGCTTTCCTTTCATCTGCCCCCCAACCCAAATGTAAGGCAAGGGAGGATTCCCAGCCTCTAACAGATCAGAAAACAGGGGCTCAGAGAAGTTAGGCAATTTGCCTAAGGACACACAGCTGGCTTTTTTTTTTTTAAGATTTTTTTTTTTAAGATTTATTTATTTATACAAGAACTGGGGTACAGTCAGAGGTGCAGGAGGGTGAGAGAATTCACCAGAGACAGAGCAGGGAGCAGAACAGGCAGACGGATAGAAAACATTGCTGAGAGGAACAGCGGGCGAGGCAGGAGAGGTCTGCCACACCATGTGGGTTTCTCCCTGGGCAGCCTGGAATTGAACCCACACCGCAGAGGCTACAGACAGCTTCACAGGGCGGCGCTCAACCCGCTGCGCCACCTGGGAGGTCCACACAGCTGGCTTTTCCTCTGCCTCCATGTGGCTCACTTTGCTGTTCCCAGGGTGATGGCCTCTGTGGAGGTCACTACTGTTTTTTTTTTTTCTTAAAGATTTATTTATTTATGCATACAAGAACTGTGGTGTAGGCCAGAGGTGGGGGGGTGGTGAGAGGATTCATCAGAGACAGAGTAGGGAGCAGAACAGGCAGATTCACTGAAATACACTGCTGAGGGGAGCAGCGGGCGAGACAGAAGAGGTCTGCTGTGCCATGTGGGTAGCTCCCTGGCCAGGGATTGAATTCATGCTTCAGTGGCTGGTGAGAGCTTGATAGTGCTTGATAGTGTGTGATAGTGCTGAGACTATGTGCCACCAGGGAAGGCCCTGGAGGTCACCACGATTGCTCTAGTCTGGACAAGCCAGAGTCCCAGAGCAGACACCTCAAGCTGCAGGACCTAGGACATGGTAGGTACTCAGCATATACTTTTAAAAACAAAGTCCTCCCTTTTTTCTGTGACAATTATTTTTATAATAACTTGTAAAAAAAAATAAGTTGATAACTTATTTTTGAACAGGTACAATGTACCAGGCATTTTCTACATTTAATTCTTACTCTCCAGAGCATATGCTATAGAATACCCAGGAATCAGTGTCCCTTTGGGGACCTCTGCAAATATTTAAGACAGGCTGTTTTGACAGTGCTGTGGCACCAGTGTCAGGAGGAAGCCCCATGAGTGAGCTCAACCAGATGCAAAAATCCATCCACTAAAGCCAGCACTGAGTGCCTACTCCTAAACTGTGAAGCACCCTGCTTCGTCAGGCTCCAAATCACTAGCCATCCAGCTAGGTAGGGGGGTTGAAAGAAACAGAGAAAACACATTTGGAAAGCAAAGGAGGGTGGGAAATGAAAGGAATGGGGGTGGGTGGGTGGGAGGGGAAACACAGAGGCTTCTCGCTCCTCCTGTCACAGGAGTGACAAACCTAGAACTAGGTCCCCTGAATCCGGGTTCCCTGGATCAACCCCCAGCATGGTCCCCAAAGATCAAAGTCTTCAGCCTTCCAGGTAGAGGTTGATCTTCCTCCTGGAATTGCCCCAGTGAGCAGAAACGGATCCTGAGGGCAGGGTTGTAAAGGGGACCCCACAGACGAAGCAAGCCAGCCAGGAGGTGCCCTCAATCAGCGGAGCCTCCCCTGAGATGAGGCTGTCCTGGCCCCAGCCATGGAGCCCTAGCTGTTGTCCCTGGGACAGGGCAGCGGCTCTCTCTGCAGCCACCGTGTCTCCAGCCACTTCTCAAGATGGAAGCAGCCAGCTCCCAGCTTTGTTCTCCTGGGCCCCGAGTGCCTCTTGGTGGCCCTATTATCATGGCTGCAGCCTGTGTTGGTCCATGCTCCCAGCTCCCCTCATGTCCTCCCAAAACTCAAGAACTGGACCCAGGCATCGAGAATGGCACGCTCAAGGTCAAAGGTGAGAAGAAAGGGCTTCTCTTAGCCTGTGCCCACACCACTGTGCTGGTTAGCGTCCTCCGTCTCCCCTCTGCGTGCTGCCAAAGCCCGAGGGTGCTGGTTTCATTGTGCTAAAATATACATAACATAAAATGAACCGTTGTAAACATTTTAAAATGTGCATTAAGTGCATTCACATCACTTTGCAACCCTCTGTGCCATCCACCTCCACAACACTTCATCTTCCCAGATGCAAACTCTGTTCACATTACACCACAAAATCCCACTGCTCCCCGGCCCCCACTTTCTACACTCCGCGTCTGTGAGTCTGACTACTCCACATGCCCACTCTAAGTGGAATCATGTGGTGTTTGTCTTTTCATCATGGACTTATTTCAATTAGCCTCATGTCTGCAATGTTCATCCATGCATAGCCCGTGTCAGAATTTTCTTCCTTTCTCTGGTTGAATAGCATTTCATTACACACACACCCCCATGTCGTGCTTATCCATTTTTCCATCACTGGACACTTGGGGTCACCTCTGCTCTTCAGCGGTTGAGAGTGATGCCACCGTGGACAGGGCTACGCGGGTATCGGTTGTGGCCCCTACTCTATGCTCCCTAGAAGTGGAAATGCTGGGTCATGGGGTAGTTCTGTCTGACTGCTTGAGGAACCACCCAAAGTCCTAAGGTTTTCAGGAGGCCTCTGCCATTGGCGGGGGTAGTGCTAGGAGGTGCACTGTAGACAGGGAGGTATGAACTCAGAAGCTAGACATTGTGGGTTTAAATCCTGGCTCAGCCACATCCTGCGGTGTGACCTTGGGCAAGTCACTCACCTGCTCTGTGCTTTTGCTTCATCAGTTGTAACTTAGGATGCGAACAGTACCCTCCTGGTGGGCCTGGGGCCACAGCGGGCCTCAGCTATGTTAACAGAGAGGATGTCTGAACTTAAGAGTGGAGCCTGCAATATAGGAGGGTTTCAGAAACTCTCAGTGGCAGCTCCTGGCCCAGCTGGCTTCCTGCTGAGCTCTGGCCCTGCCATCCTGCTGTGTCTGTGCCACCACACAGGCCTGGCCCCTCAAGGGGCATCCCTTTGGAGCAGGCCCTGGTCCCTCCTCAGCACTCTGATTTATTTTTTGCCTTTTCCTGGTCTTTGGGAATCTCTCTTCAACTGGAGGGAGTTGACGAGACAGAAGACATGGCTTATGTCTTTGGAGACAAAAGGCAGGAAGTAAGACTTTGGGGCTGAGAGGCTACAAACTCAATCTGAGCTTGAGGGCTGTACCTCGTGTAGATGGGAGGTAGGGAACCAACCTGGTTTTCTTCATTAAGAGCTGGGGGAGGGGAATGCTGGGTGGGCCTGGCCCAGCTATAGGCTCTGCTTCATAATAGCTAAGACCACTATTAAGTACCTGCTGTATATCAGGCTCTGTGCTGAGCACCATACATGGAACACCTCATTTGTTTCTTGCAACCCTTGGAGGCGTTATTATTTTTGCTAGGTGCAGGAGTACCAACTGATAGAGCAGCCTGCCCCAGGCTGGCAGTTAACCAGTGGCAGGGTCACATGTGCATGCCAACTGCCTTGTTGGCTACAGCTTGTCTGCCCACATGGGGTGTTTGTTGTCAGGGCTCCTCCCTGGGGACCTCAATGGGTCTGACTGTCTGGTCCTGAACTTGGGGCAGGTCCTCCACGGAAGCTGCCAGTAAGGGATTCAACCAGGTAGAGACTGAATGGAGGGGGCCAGGCCCAAGGTCTGTGTCTTTGGTCTCTGAAGGAGAGTTTGGGGAGCCCACTGCTTTGTGGGGCTCATGGAGTCAGACATGTGGGGAGACATGTCCTCAGCCCATCTGGCGGGCCCTCCCAGGAGTGCCTCAGAGGCCTCCTTTGCCTCGGCCTGGACGCCTGCCATGAAGTAGCCACAGCTGCCTTTGCCGCGGGAGAAGAGGAAGTGGTCAGAAGCAACGCGAGAGCCTTAAACGAAGACATGTCTCAACCCACACTGCCCCGTCCCCTGGCGGGGGGAGGGAGGGGAGGAGCCCAGTTGGCCCCGCCTTCTTTGACCCCACAGAGGTGTCCCGAACACACTCTAGAATTCAGAGGGCCTCCAGCCTTGGGGGTCCATGGGCAGGAGTCAGTGGGAGCCCCTCAACCAGCACCCAGCGCACACAGGCTCTGAGTTCATGAATAACAGGAATAGGGCATGGTGGTGGAGTTGCAGGTTCAAATCCTGGCTCTACTCCCATTAGCTCTGTGTCAGGGACAGGCTGCTCACTCTCTGGGCCTCTGTTTCCTCAGCTGCACGGTGGAAATGATAAAGAGTTCTTAGCCCTAAAGGCCCTGAGGAGAATGCAGAGCCTGGTGGCAGTAAGCGTTCAATAAATGAGAACTACTTTTATGTCAGGGAAATCTCGAGGGGCCCACAAGTTGCCTCGAGGAGCTGGACCTAGGGCTGGTGCAGGCTGGGCACAAGGCCTGTCCAGAGAAATCTCTGCTGCTACCACAGATGGAGAGAGAATCAGAAAAGTCTTAGGTGGAAATGAAGGACCCCAATCTTTCCAGAGGTCCACTCTGAACCCCTTCCACCACAGTCCACTCTCCCAAACACCTCCTGAGGGGGACACCCAACATGCCAGGCCGCACAGCACAAGGGGCCCGGGGAGCTATCTCAGGAGCTGAGCTGCCACTCCCCTGCCTTGTTCCAGATGCAGAACTAGTTTCCTCTGTCCCCACCACCGTCTGGAGTCTTGTTCAGCAGAAATCACCCTCACCACTCCAGCCGCTAGTGCCACAGCTGCCCACGGCTCTCTTATTCTATCATCAAGGAACAGTCACCAGGGCTGGGGCAGGAGTGAGGTGAGTGACGGGCCTAATGAGGACTCTGAGAGCCTCCTGCGATTTTCCACCTTCTAAAAATCTCACCCTAGGGTGCACTTCACCCCAGTCCTGGCCTTGGCAATCCGTTGTTAATTCTCCCTCTCTCAAACATCCAGCCTCCTCCACCCGCAAACTATTCCCCA